ACCTACCGTAGAAATTCACTAAGTTGAGAAACATTCCTCTAAATCAGGGGTGGGGAACTATGGCCCTTTTATGTCTTGTGGACTTCAACTCCCAGAGTTCCTGAGCCAGCCACGCTGAGGAATTCTGGGAGTTGAGTTCCATGCTGGCTCAGGAATTCTGGGAGCTGAATCCCACAAGTGATAAAGGGGCCATAGTTCCCCACCTCTGTTCCCAAATGGAGGGCTGAGAGGACAATAATCTATTAAATCATGTGAATTTGTATTTTCAGAAGCTAAACCTCAGTTGCCTTCTGCTGCTGCCACCGCTTCCTGTTGCCCAACGGGCTGGCACATGAACCAAGGGATCTGCTATCATATTTTGGAAACGCAAGAGAGCTGGAATGCTAGTCAGAACCGTTGTCTCTCCCTTGGGGCCACCTTGGCTGTTTTGGGGGATCTAGAGAAACTGGTAAGAGAAGAATCTGTCAAAATTGATACCTGCAGTTTTGCTCAAGCAGGCCTTGCTAGTGGTTACTCTTTCGCCGTTTTATGAAATAAGAACTTGCCATTATATCTCCAGGATGCTCGAGGGATTTAAATCTCTTTCCAGTGTTGAGAAGATTCTCTGTACCCCAGAAGCAGACTGTGTAATTCAAGCAATCCGGATACTGGATTTTCTGCAGAGAATTCTGTTATTCAGGATAAAACGTTGACAGGAATAGCCAACAATACCCTATAGGCTCATGATCCAGATGATTCTTGACAGACTTGAACACTGGACACTAACCAAAAGAAATTCAGTACAGAAAAAAGTAAAGTCTTACACCTAGGCAAGAAAAAATATAGGTACATATAGATTGGGAGAAATTAGGTTAATAGCAGTAACTGTGACAGGTATCTTAGGGCCTTGGTGGACAACCAGCTAAATATGAACCAGCAGTGTGCAGCAGCAGCCAAAAAAGCTAATGCAACCCTAAATTGCATTAACAGAGGGATACAATCAAGATCAAGTGAGGTACTAATACCACTCTATAAAGCCTTAATAAGACTACACCTAGAGTACTGCATCCAGTTTTGGTCACCACACTATAAAAAGATGTTGAGACTCTAGAAAAAGTGCCAAGAAGAGCAACCAGGATGATTAGGGGACTGGAGACTAAAACATGTGAAGAACGGTTACAGGAACTGGGCATGGCTAATCTAGTGAAGAAAGAACCAGGGGAGACATGATAGCAGTCTTCCAATATTTGAGGGTCTGCCACAGAGAGGAAGGGGCCAAGCTATCTTTCAAAGCACTTGAAGGCCAGACAAGAAATAATGGATGGAAACTGAATAAGGAGAGATTCAAGCTAGAAATAAGGAGAAACTTTCTGACAGTGAGGACAATCAACCCATGGAACAGCTTTGCCTTTGGAACTTGTAGGATCTTCATCACTTGAGACTTTCAAGAAGAGATTGGATTCCCATCTGTCAGAAATGGTGTAAAGTCTTCTGCTTGGGTGGGGGTTGGGGGTTGGACTAGATGACCTACATGGTCCCTTCCAACTTTGTTGTTCTGTTATGTGTACGTACGTGCATATGTATGAAAAGTGATGATGGAAGAGGCACTTATGTCCTTCTGCGGAGTGCAGAGCTCAATTTCCAAAATGTTCTGAAACGTATAGTTTTTTTTTCTTTTTCTTTTTTAATTAAAAAACAAACAGATTGGCGCCATGAATGTCAAAGAGCCCTTTAACCACTGGATTGGCCTCCACAGAAGTTCTGAAGACAGATGGAAATGGCCAGATGGGACTCTATTTAAAAACATGTAAGTTCTTCCTACCATTGGATATTGAAAACCCATCGCCTCAATGAAGTCTCCCCAAAAATCATTATAATATGGCTCTTTAGGCAGATGTTTGCGGGTGAGGAAAGGTCATAGTAACCAGCAAGCATGAACATGTGAGGTTAGATGTTATAAAAGACCTGCCGCTGGTCTGTCACAAAGAGCTCAGAGGTTCTGGACTGGAATGGCATATAAACTGGAGGGAGGCAGAAAAAGAATAGTTTCCAAGGTACAAAAAGAAATTTAGATTGGTTCCAACTGTGTCTGCCTCATCCATCCATCCATCCATCCATCCATCCTTTCAAGAAGAGATTGAACTGCCATTTGTCAGACATGGTGTAGGGTCTCCCGCTTCAACGGGGGGTTGGACTAGATGACCTACAAGGCCCCTTCCAACTCTGATGATCTGTTAATCCATCCATTTATTCACTGACTCCAATAGGCAACTGGATTTTCTTGGTTTGTTTTTTTGCCCCTTGAAAACGTTTTGCTTCTCATCCAAGAAGCTTTTTCAGTTCTGAAGAACTTTTTCTGAAGTCCAAAATTCAGACGCTTTTGGCCACTGACTCAAGTTTATGACGGTTGCAGTATTCTGGACTCACGTGATCCACTTTTGCCGCCTTCTTATAAGCAAAGTCAACGGGGAAACCAGATTCACTTATCGACTGTGTGATTCACTTAACGACTGCAGTGATTCCCTTAGCAACGGTGGGAAGAAGGGTCATAAAACAGGGCAAAAAGAAGTGTTTCGCTTAACAACGGGAACATTGGGGTCAATTACAGTTGTAAGTCAAGGGCTACCTCTACTCTGAGAATACCAGCTCTTGTTAGCGCATTCTTCTCCCAGTGTGGGTGCCTCTCAGTGGTGGGCTTCAAATAATTTAACAACCGGTTCTCTGCCCGGTCGCTGGGTGGGCATGGCCGTGGTGGATGTGGCCTAGTCGGCCCCCTGCACCACTCTCGAGCAAAAACGGGCTGTAGAGGGCTTGTTTTCGACCTCCCTGTGCTCTGGAGGCTCTCTTGGAGGCCACAAATAGGCCCATTTTCGCCCTCCACAAGCCTCTGGGAGGCCCATTTTCCACTTCCCCAGGCTCCATGCGCCCCCTGCCCTTACCTGGGATCCAAAACGGGCCACGTGGCGACTCCTGGGAGGGGAGGGGCAGTGTAGGGTGGGGCCAGCCGGTCGTCGGAACTACCGGTTTGCCATACCGGACGTAAAATTAACATCCAGTTTCCCCGAATCGGTGCATACCACCTGAAGTCTACCCCTGCCTCTCTGAAGCTCTTTGGATAAGAAAGGCAACTTTAGGGGAACCCTTTTGCAAGCAAATTACAAATGCCGGGAACTTTCTCTGTTGCTTTGCAGCTTCGAAGTGGAGGGAGACGGAGGCTGTGCTTACTTGAAGAACGGAGCAGCGAGCAGCGCCGATTGTGCCGTCTGGAAGAAAGGACTGTGCAGCCTGAAAGGGTTAATGAACCACAAACTCTGCAGGGCAACATGACCTCGAAAGAATTCCTTCTGGAGAGAAAAAAAAAAGAGAGAGTTGGAGCCCTTCACTTTGTGTGCGTGTGTGGGTGTGCATGCAGCACGATAAATTTCTGTGGGTGGCCTTTTTCATCCGTGCAGGACATAAACGTTATTTTACACAGGATATAAAACTTCAAAAACTGGCTAGACTGGGAAAAAAAACAAAGTGATGTAAGACAAGATCTTAACGCATTTTAAGGTTGGTTGCCCCCCACCCCAATACGGGTTGCCTTGCCATCCTAACTAGGATTTTGGGGGACAAAAAAACACCCCTTGAATTTAGAAGGATTTTACTCTCAGGCAAATTAGAAGTCTGTTTTTAAGGTTATATTCATGCTGTGTGTTTTGGTACATTGCTGGATTGAGAGTGCTCTGCTACCTCATTTTTTTTTTCTCTTTAGTTAAAAACGATGCAGATTTGGAGAAGAAATACCTTAGAACTCTAGTCCATTTTGAGTAATTGTGTGGCCAGACTATGCTAAAACGGGTCAGGGTAGATGGTAATTCAGTGTATTGTAGGACACGCAGCTGTTAGTTCTGCATGTGGTATGAACTAGATTATCAAGGCCTAGTACTGTATGTTTGTATGGCATGTAATACATTGGGTGACCCCACCAAGAGGCTCAAAATCTTTATATCCACCAAAGCAATCCCTTAATTGCAAAACCTCATCGTCCTGATGCTTCAGACTTGGAGCCCAAACGTCAGAAGTAACCTCATGTTTCAGCAACAGAGAATTGTAAATCATCATGTAATCAACTCAAGCTTCTCCGTGCAGGGAGAAGATTTCTGCCCTTTTCCACAAAGGAGCATCCAACTTAGAATAACAGAGTTGGAAGGCACCTTGGAGGTCATCTAATCCAACCTCCTGCTCAGGCAGGAAACCCTATACCATTTCAGACAAATGGTTGTCCAATCTCTTCTTAATAACTTCCAGTGTTGGAGCATTCACAACTTCTGGAGGCAAGTTATTCCACTGATTAATTGTTTTGTCAGGAAATTTATCCGTAGTTCTGGGTTGCTTCTCTCCTTGATTAAGTTTCCACCCGTGGCTTGTTGTCCTGCCCTCAGGTGGCTTTGGAGATGGACTTGACTCCCTCTTCTTTGTGGCAGCCCCTGAGATTTTGAAATACTGCTGTCATGTCACGCATACACCCTTAGTCCTTCCTTTCATCAAACTAGACATACCCAATTCCAGCAACTGTTCTTCATGTGTTTTAGACTCCAGTCCCCTAATCGTCTTTGTTGCTCGTCTCTGCACCCTTTCTAGAGCCTCAACCTCTTTTTTTACATCGGGGGGGGGGGGGGGGGGAAAACTTTCCCCCCCTTTTCTTTTTTTTTTGGAGTTTTTTTTTGTTCAAGACGTAGAAGCTGAAACTCTTTATCCTTCCTGCCAACCCATTACTTAGACACCAATATCCCTGGGGCAGGGGAAATCAATGTGATCTATGGCAAGAATGCAGCAGCAGAAGCAAACAACAGTTTCGCAATGTCGGACAACTGGTAACGGAGCCCCAGACGGGTGTTCTCAGTCTGTACCCTTTGAGTCTAGCAGAGGGAACATTTCCTAGAAACTTAAGCCAGTCTGGCAGATGGTGCTCCTGTCTCATATTCAGGCATTGAGGGCATAGTTGCAGTACGGAGGGTATCGGTTACTCTGGCGAACAAGGATGCCCAAGAAGACGGTTCAACAAGCAAACGCTGCCAAGGAGGAGAGAGCTGATAATGGCAGCTCTGCCAAGTGTCTGCCTCAGTCTTTCTTCGGCGTATGCCTGAATGGGTTGCCCATTAAGCAGGAAGGAGCAATTTCAGATTTAGGATGGTCTGTGGGCCTTATTGAATAGGAAAATATGTGGCATGGGCAGAGTGTGGATGTCAGGCAGGGGTGGGCTTCTGGGGATTAGCAGGGGTTTGGGAGAGACCCTAGCTAAGATTCTGCACAGTTCAGAGAACCACCAAATCCCACTCCTGGCTGGCCCCATCGACCCCTCCCCTCCTGGGAATCCCCACGTGGCCTGTTTTAGATGCAGGTTAAGTGCAGGGCGCACGGGCCTCCCAGAAGTTTGGGAAGGCTGGAAATGGGCCCATTTCTGGCTTCCAGAGAGCCTCTGGAGCCCAGGGGGGCCATTTTCACCCTCCTGGAGGCTCGAGGAAAGCCTCCAGAGACTGGGGAGGGGAAAAATGCCCCCCCCCCCGTGGTGCAGGAGCAGGGGTGGGATTCTACCAGTTTGCACCTATTCGCTACAACAGGTTAACATTCTAAGCAGTTCGGAGAACCGGTTGTTAGAAGAAATTACTGGACTAATCCTGTAAGGAAGGCAGGAAGGAAACATTCTGGTTTTGCTTACAGAAACTACCTCTCAGTTAACCCTTATTACATTCTTGGCAGGACTAGACTTCCTGTCTCAGGAACTTCTCACAGAGTTTTTTTTCCTCCTTTGCTGGTACTTTGCTTGTGTGGAGTGACCATTCAAAGTTACAATGGCACTGGCAAAAGTGACTTATGACCATTTTTCACACTTACGACTGTTGCAGCATCCCCACAGTCATGAGAGGCCAGGGGAGGAGATGCGTGCCTCGATGTTAGTGATGTTGAGTTGGCCACACCCAGCCAATAACATGACCACCAAGCCATGTCCACCCAGTCACATGACCACCAAGCCACACCCACCACCTAAGCCACACCCACAGAACTGGTTGTTAAAAATTTGAATCCCACCCCTGTGCAGGAGGCCGACTAGGCCATGGTCAAGATGGCCACACCCAGCAAGCAACCGGGCAGAGAACACTTTGCTAAAAAATTTTAAGCCCACCCTGATGTCAGGTGAGTGTATCTGATCTTGTAGCTCACAAAAGAGAAAGAGAGTCAAACCAAGGCAGAAGGGAAGATGGATCACCTTCGAAAATGTTGGTCTAACTCAACCTTGGTGACTTGAAGGTGTGTGGACTTCAACTCCCAGAATTCCCCCTAGGATAAGTGTATCCTACTTATGTTTGGCTCTGACCTTTCTCTCCCCTTTGCTTCAGGCCCACAGATTGCACACTGATGCACATGCGCGCGCGCGCGCACACACACACACACACACACACACACAGATACCAGATTGTCTCTGAGGGAAAACGATCCCTGGTAAAAAAACCATGACCCAAACTTGTTACGAAAGATTTGGAAAGAAGTTAGCTAAATGCATAAAGGGTTTGGGTTGTTGTTGTTTTTTAGGTTTTAAAAAGATAAAGCCATATTAGCACATCTTTAGGCAGTCCTCAACTTATAACCATTCATTTAAGTATTGTTCCAAGTTAACAATGGCAGTAAAAAAAAGTGACTGTTTTTCACACTTAATGGCCATGCAGCATCCCCATGTCATATGACCAGAATTTGGGTGTTTGGCAACCGGTTCATATTTATGACGATGTCAGTGTCCTGGGGTCATGTGATCAACTTTTATGACCTTCTGACAAGCAAAGCCAATGGACTGATTCACTTAACAGCTGTGGGAAGAAAGATCGTAAAACGGAGCAGAACTCATTTAACAACTGTTTCCTTTAGCAACGGAAATTTTGAACTCAATTATGGCCATAATTTGAGGATTACCTCTATTCAGGAAAGAATAAATGGGATTTTGGTTTTTTGGAACTGCTAAAGGTACACCTTATTGTTTTCATGCTAGGGCTAATTTTTTTGTAATATAGAAGACGGGACGCCCTTTGGTCACTCAAAAACAACAACAACCCTCTCCCCTCTGGTTAAAAAAGTTGTGACTTTTTAGAAGGGGTATCTTGAAATGGCTGTCTTCCAAACAAGCTGAAACTTTTAGAAAATCTTTAGAATACTTCATCTTATTACACAGTTGTGGAAGCCTAGAGGAACTGTTTGATGAATTAGATTTGCACCTTTGCCTTTACCTGACTGCAAATTCTCAGAATACCACATAATGGATTTTGCGGCCCAGGTATGATTGCTCAACAGGTTGATTTGGGCTTAATGGGGTTTCTGAATCCAGCCATTTTGGTCTGTAAACCATGATTCATGACCTATCCTGGAAAGCCAGCCAAGTGTGTTTTAATCAGTTTAGTACAGTGGTGGGATTCAAATATTTTTAGTACCGGTTCTGTGGACTTGGTAGGCATTGCATGGCTTGGTGGGCATGGCAGGGTTAGGGTCAAGGATACTGCAAAATCCCCATTCCCTCCCCACCCCACTAACCTGCTTTCCAGCTCCATTCTCCTGTGCAGGGCAACCAAAACTGACCCAGCCAATCAGTCGGGACTCAGGAGGCAGAGAATAGATGGGGGCGGGGCCAGTCAGAGGTGGGATTTGCCGGTTCTTCGAACTACTCAAAATTTCCACTACTGTTTCTCCAGAACTGGTCAGGACCTGCTAAATATCACCTCTAGTTTAGTAATATTCTGTTTAATAAGACCACAAGTACCTGAGCTTACAAAATGTTAAACCGGGATTAATGTATGAACCTAGCCATTGACATGAGAGGGGGTGTTTACACATGCTAAGCTACGGATTGTGGAACTGTGTAATTTACTGAGGGCTTCACATATATTAACACAAAAACCATGGCTTACAGCAGTGGTAGCTAACCTTTTTGGGCTCCTGTGCCAAAAATTGTGCGCTCGTGTGCCAGTGTGCTAGCACCCAGAAGGCAATGTGTGTGCTCCACCCCCTGTGCATGCACACGCAATCCCTCCCCGCCACTCCCTTAACTGCACTGCACCTCACAGCTGATTTTCAGCCAGTTTGAGGTCATTTTCAGGCTCCCAAAGGCATGAGGAAGGCTTCTACAGAGGCCTGTTTAGTCACTTCCAGTATTACAGGAAGTAATGAAACGGGCCTATTATTCGGCCTGCAAAGCTTGCAGAGGCTTTTTTCAAGCCTCTGGGAGGCCAAAAAAGGCTTCATACCAGCCAAAAAATCAGCAGTGAGGTGCACACATGCGCAGTGAGGTAAGTTTGCCTGTGGGTTGCATGTTGGAACAAATGGCTCTGCGTGCCATAGGTTCGCCATCACGGGCTTATACATTACAAAGCAGCTGCGCTTCAGAAGCAGGACATAACGGATAGAACAAGAGCCCAAGTGGGCGGGTGGGCCCAATAGCAGACTGTCAGAGAGAGCCGTTTCGGTCTCGTTGGTGCTATCG